ATGTATGAGCTTTACAGGAAAAAGGTACATGTAAATTATTCAAATCAAAGTCAAATATTCCAGGATTTCCGTTATTTAATCACATATATAGGGTTCGTAGTGATAATTATCATTGATAATAATCATGAAACTTACCACGATAATTATCTTATTAGTTATAAAATTCATTGAGGCAACAAACTGCTACCGCTTGCAATGTCGATGACGTGTCATGTATTTGTAACCGAGACTTGTCAAATGTTAATTAAAAAAAAAACTAAATCGTTTTCCCAAAGATTTTTCTTCGTGTACATTTAGTTTTCTCACTGTATATCAGTTTTAGCCATAAATTCAAAAAGTTATGAATATTGCGATAATTATCAAAAGAAAATAATTATCTTGATAATTTTGAATCCTGCAAATATATATTACTGCTCCTTTTGACAATAAGTAATAATAGTAAATAATTACATATTTACTGTTTCTAAACGTTCCTCCTTCTAAAGTTCAACATCTTCCGATCAATATTTACCATTTATTCAAGCAACAAGTATCTTATGTGTTAACAGCTCCATGCAAGTGATGGATTACGAATACAAATAAGATCTTCATTATCAGGTGATAGTAATTTGATTTCTGTGTTATTTTTCTGAAGTTTTGCATTTCGTGGTCGATTATAGTACAAGTTGATCAATAAATAAGAGTATGTAATTCGGTATATTTATATAAAATGTTATTTAATTTGAAATATGACAATTTTTTTACTTACTATCGGGAGTGACTTCCCTAAACATGATTCCGTGTTTAGTTTCCGGTTCCGCGGGCATTGTCGTCGACTTGTTGGCACAAACAAAACTTTTTTGATAACCTATACAAAGTTTACTAACTCAGTTTTTTAGTTCAAAACTAAGTGTAACTGTTGCCAGCAGTCAAAAGTTTCTAGTTTTACGAATTATGAATACAGTTTATCTCATGATCCCGTTTTGTTGGAATAAATAGTGGTGAAGCGAGCGTCACCGCGCGTGGTTGGAACAAGACTGGCGATGAATGAGAGTTTGCGGAACTTCTCCCGCGCATCCATACGTGCCTGTTGCCGATATGATTGATACATTTATATTATTATCTCGAAGGGCTCGAGACGCGACTTGCATCAATTAAGAAAGAAAGCCGTTAAGAAATGACGATAACATTGTAATTTCATTGTTGCAATCCAAGATTAGCAATGTCCGAATCACGAGGGTTAGATACGCGATGAGGAAACAATAATAATTATTGTAACAGCTACTAGGTATTTCAAAAAATTTCAAAAATAGTGGAAATTTTTCCACCAAAATTTTGGAAAATTGGAAAAATATAATTCGAAGGCTTAAGTTCTACGTCTATCGTTTTTGGGTTTTATTTAGCGTTAATTATAAAATAATCTTGTTTAGATTTAAAATTATTGGACAACAGGGAGAAAAATCATTAGCTTCTTCAAAAATCATTAGTTTTCAACTTCTGTCAACAGGTGTCAAATGTCAAATGTGAAAAAATATACGAAAAATATTCGGAAATATATTTACTTTTCTGAAAAATATTAATTCTTAAAAATGGAATATTTTTCTATGAGCCAACACTTTGTTTTTTTTTTACATACCTACCTATAATATTATTATGTTTTTTTAAATGAAATCCTTTGTTAGCCAATTTTTCATTTGATTATTTATATGTATAGTATCTATCATGTTAATGTAAGCCCATGACATGCGTATTAACGTTAAAACGAATTCACCACTACATTAGTATTTAAAAAAATCAATTGGCATTGACTTAGAAGGCCGAGGATGACAACAACATTTGCTTAGCATTATAGTGCATTTTAAAAAGTATAATTGATACATTGAAATTAAACCAACTTACGGTAAACAATATGATAATTTTTATAGTACGGTTGACTTGACGAATATTTTTCAATCTCGTATTGCAATTTTAGTGCAAGTTGCTGATGACAAGAAATAAAGAAAACATTGTATACGACAATATTTATACATATATAATATATAAATATTGTCGGTGTTAGCGATATTTCGTCGATTTTTCAGGGATGCTGTGTCTGTTTTAAAATATTTGCGTCCTATTTTAAAATCAATTTTGGTTTTAATTAAGTTTAAGTTTTAAAATGAATTATAAAACTGCACATAAATATTTTAAAACTGTCGTTAAAACCCGACAACATTTTCCCACTGAAAAAATCTAAATATTGCTTCCGCCCTTTCTACAAAACACCAACGATATAATATAAAATGATAAGCTGTTCATGGAGCATAAATTTATTGCTGTGTGACATCTGTTAGCGAACTAGTGACTGACAAGTTCTAAGATTAATAAATTATTTAAAGCGCCATCTGTAGAGGAGTAGCGTAACTATCTTGTCAATTACATGTCTTTCGTTGGTTCAAACTTCAAAGCTGAAAGTGTATGAAGTTCAAAATATTTTCTATAGATGGCTTTGTAGTGAAAATTTTCAAATGTGATTTTGTTTCCTTAAAATACAGGAAGTTGGGAAAGTCAATCAACAGTCTTGTCCTTGTGACATTATTATAATGACTTAACAATAAGAGCACAATTAAGTATTTCCTTGGAAATGTTTCTTGAATTCACTTACTGTTCATGTGTGGTTAAAAAATTTTATGGAGGCAAACCGGTAATAATTATCAGCAACTCATTTATTAACGTCATTTACTTGTAAAAATTACAGATCTGCTATCATAAAATTTCGATAAGTTGGGCGGAAACAATATCTATATACGAGTATTATGTAATTTTTTTTATATATTTAAAACTCTCACATTCTCCACTCAATTTCAAGCAGTAGTAAAATTTTTCATCCTTTGCAACAGGCTGAGGCGTCTAATTAGCCATTCTGTCAGGTCTTAGATTGTAATGTTTCTTCAATGCTTTAATTTTCTGAAATTTTTTCGCGGGAAATCGTTATTTTTTTTACGGTGGCCATTTTGAAACTTTCGTAATTCCAAGCTAGTGATAAAGAATTTTCCGACATAGATTAAAAAAAAAGATTACAGGCAAAGATGTGGATGATGATCAACGATGTACTGACGATTGTATAAGCTCGTTAAGAAAACGTCAAAAGATACTAAGAAAAGAGTTGTAATTCCCTGTATATGTCATGTCGACTGCGAATGTTGTTATGCCAAGTACTTAGTCAATAAACTTTCATTAAATGCGGACTTATATTTCTATTCATATATTGTTCCTCGTGACTAGCTGTCGTAAAAAGCACATGTCGAACTCGTCCTATCAATGAGTAGGTATATTCAATTCAATTTCCAAAAAGGTAGACATAGGACGATCTCAAAGAAAATAAATATTTTTATGAATATTTTTCTTGTATTTTTCCACATTTGACAGTTGACACCTGTCAAAAGTTGAAGATACTGAACAAAAATGATGGAGCCATTATTAAGATTTTTTCCTTTATTTCTCTTTTTTCGCTTTAGTCCAATCATTTTAAATCTCGTTTTCCTCTAACTTGCTTTCAGCTATACATTTTTATTTTATAATTCACGCTAAATAAAACTTCAAAAGATATTTTTAATCGAGATTCATATTAAGTACGTAGATATTTCTACGAATATAATATGAGCCTTCGAATTAATTAGAAATTTATAAATTATTTTTAAAATTTTTACAATTTTATCCAATTTTTCAGAGTTTTTCCGGAATAATATCGACAATTTTAAATTTTTTGGAAAGTTACCCAACAGTAGTTATGACAAAAAGCCAGATACGATATTTAGCAGGGTCCAAAATTACGAAGATATTTATCATGATAATTATTCATGCTTGATTCATTGCCTCTTTAATATTTGACAAAAAAATACAAACAGTGAGAAAACTAAATAAACACCAAGAAAATCTTTAGGAAAACAATTTTTGTGAATTTTTCAGATTAATATTTGACACGTTCAGATTTTTTTTATAATTTCGTGTGACGGGACGAACAAGTGTTGTGCTTAATGGTAAGCTACACGCCTGCCCATAACAGTTGCAGTGCCACTCAGCTATTTGAATCGCACAGATCTAAGGCGCACTGCCATTGCACCCGTCACCTTGAGACATAAGTTGACAAGTCTTGAGACATAAGTCATGTGCCTGTAATTTCATCAGCACTCGTACCCTTCAAAACCAGAACACAGTAAAGTACTGTGACATTATTGCTTGGCGGCAGAAATGTGTACTTCCCTGGACGAACTCTTTCACAAAGAGCTTTACTGCTACTAAATAAGTGTCTGGTATAAACACGGGGCACGACATTTTGTTGTTTCAATTCTTTTATGAATATCAAGATATTACCAATGTATATTTACAAGATCATGATAATTATCACTTCGAACACTGCTATTTAGTAAGGAGAGGGACTATCTATATCGTCGCCTGAGAGTGGAAACCTCGCAAATGCGTTGTCACATTTTGTTAAAAAAACTTTAAATTTCTTGCACAAACGTATTATTAAAGTAATGTAGTATCTGATAGAAGTATAATTTAACTAATTAAAATGCTACTACAAAAAATATTGCGTTTATTACATTTTACATCACTTTTATCTTTGTCCTGAAATATTACATAAAAATCACATACGAGGTATTCACTCTAAGACGACTATACGTACCCTTGTGAGACAGGCAGACCCTATGGTTTGCCGCAACAGGTTTTAGACAATTGCAGAGTTCACCACAGTTACCCGAATCGGCGTTGGAGCATGTCACTTTGCTTTTTACGCAAGGTTTCTAGATTTTATAACCTCATCCGTTAATAGAGATTTCCTCTAGATGTTGTTGTTTACAATATATTACGTCCTACAGATATACTAGATAATTACACTTCTTATTTCAAGTTTCGTAGTAAGGTTGAGCTATTTCGATTTAACCTTTTCATGCAAATACAATGCCTTAAAGTTCAATATCAAGACTGACAGGACTGCAGCATCGCGATGCGCGCCGCCGCCGCCGCGCCGCCGATCGAGTCGCGATGACCGGCTGCGCGGGCGCACGAGTCGAGGGCAACCACGCGCAGTATGAATCGTGCTGCAGTCTCGAGCGCGCGCAACACACGAGCCTCTTTGCCAATAATTTAAGGTAATAAACTTTTATCTTAATATGTTCTAGTAATAGTATGTGTGCAGATTTACAACAATTTAGATTTTATAAATTGGTCTTTTGTCGACATAAATTTGTTATATATCTGTCTGAAGGTACGTAATTAGTCGAGTGATCTAATAGTTTCGGCCTTTGTTTGATAACAGATTCATCCATTATTATTTACAGTGGTGACATAAAATGGTTTAGTTTTTTTGCAATGTAGAGATCGCTATTTGTGTGTCTACCTACTTATGGCAAACATTTATTTTCATAAATTACGTTCGCAAATTACATTATATCAATTATAAATACGGTACAGATGTTGGGAAAATCGAGGCAAAATGTTCTCGATCGTATCTTGAGTAACGTTAGATGCGTATACGCAGATCCTGAGACATTCAGCGACCTACTTAAAATGCTACTTAACGATAATGATAAGTTGACTAATCTTGCGCAGTAGATTTTGAGAGAAGCTTGATGTAAAATTGCTTAACGTTGCCTATTCACATTGTTAGTCTTGACAAAGCGTATTATTTGAATTACGTAAATTACGTATTACTAAGTATAGTACAGATTTCATATTACTTGCTTTAATTATAGAAACTTAAAACACGGGGAAAGCTTCGAACGGTCGAAGTAAATTTTTAACTTCAATAAGATTTTTAGTAGCAGTAGAGCTCCTTGTGAAAGAGTTCGTCCAGAGACGTACTGCCACCTTACCTATTTCTGCCGCCAAGCGGTAATGCTGGCGTTACTGTTCCGGATTTGAACACCCCTAGGTGTTGAAAAGTAGGGGCGTTAGTGAAATTACAGGCACGTGGGACTTGGCAACTTTTGTCTCAGGATGACAAGCGCAATGGCAGTGTCCCTCAGATCTTTAAGATTTAAAGTTCTGAGTGACAATGAAACTATTATGGACAGGCGTGTCACTTACCACCAGACACGACTTGTTCGTGCAATTACTTGGTATCATAAAAAAACATGAAATCTGTGGTGAAATATGGCCCTGAATCGTTTTCTTAGTACCGTTGCTAGCGGTAGGACGTTTAGGAGTTGGTGATGAGGATGAGAAAACTTGCGACCAGAATTACGGCGTAGCCATTTTAAGACAATACTGTATGTGTAGGTAGTTTTGCAACTTATAACAAGAATAGAAAGTAATAAGTACCAGGATCTCGGCTCCAACTACTTATTAACTGCATTCGGAGTCGAAACCCTTGGCCCGTGGGGTTCCAGTGCCCTACATCTGTACAAATTTTTTTGAAAAAATTAATAGACAGTCTGGAAAACCCAAGGGCCGGGTTACGGCTACCTTGCCCAACGCATTAGCATAGCCATATAAAGGGGGAACGCTGCCAACATCTTGGGCACCTTGCCGCGGGGACCCCATTTTATTCATATAATTTAAAAATCCTACTTTTACTTTCTAGTATTTAAGCTTTTATTGTGCCTTACCTGTATATTATCAAAATAAAAATATCATATTTACAACATAAATTTAGCAGTGCCTTTACTGGAAATACGTTGTGTTTGTACAAAACAAAGAGTTAACATATGGAATGTTACCGGCATGCAATAAAGAATTACTTTAGTGACGATTTAGAACCAGTCGATTTGAACACATTTTTATTAAGATTGCAAATTGAAGGCCAATATATATAAATATGTTAATATTTGTATATATAGAATAGCACACAATGAGATAATATTTATTTAAAAAACTACTAAAATCGCTTTTAATGAAGAGGAAAATTGATGAGTGACTCAATGAAATTCTTTTTTTTCATGAATAGTGAATCATGAGTTTATTTTGCATTTAGAATGCGAAGTCTTCGAAAACTGTTCAAATATCATTTTCCGGGTAGATAATAATTTAATAGTTTTTATTTACGTGTAGCCTTCATAAAGATTAGCTTCAACTTTAAACAAAGACTCAGAATACTTTAATTGTGGATATATGTATAGAAATCACAGAAGGAACATTTGTGAGTAGTATCACTTAAAGGGTTGTTTTCTATTGTATTATTTTGAATAATTTTCTCTATTTTGAGTTCTTAGGTTTTCGTGTATGTTACACATAGAAAATGAAACTATTTTTCAGTTCTACGAGTAATTCGCGAATATTTGTTTTTTTAAACCAACCAAACGTTTCGGGTTCTTTACTATATAGGATCACCTATTGTCATGGCGTGCACGTTAGTCATCTATAAGTGATTTAGATCTGAAAAAAAGTTTGTATTCTCATTTTTTTTATAAGGCTCAAAGGTCCTACATTTTGTTATGAAATTAAAAATATAGATGTTGTACTAACGACTGGACTAATGCCAGTGTTTTAAACACCAGTAACACAAGTAACCAGTGTTGCCAAATGGTTAAATTTCTTCGTTTTTCGTAACTTTTGATATTCTCGCGTAGTATGTAATAAGACACTTTTGTTTTAAGGCTAATTTCGTAACTTTTGAGGTTTTCGTAACATTGAGATTTTTTATTGTAAATCCTAAATTGCTTACGAACTCACCTAAATTAGACAAAAAGTAACCCAGAGATGGCGCAAATAAAATAAAATCAATAAATTACTGGTTATATTTTTAGTGTACTTTTTTATTTTTAGGATTTAGGCTAAACAACAAAATTATAAAATTAAATGGAACCAATATTGAGTTAACTTTTTAACACCAAAAAAAGAATCATCGAAATCGGTTCACAAATGCAAAGTTATCGCGTAATATACATACAAAAACTACAGTCGAATTGAGAATTCTTCCTTTTTTTAAAGTCGGTTAAAAAAGGAAATTGTGAAATGTAACTTCTAATTTTGCAGACAAAATGTAACTTTTTAGGTAGGTAACGAAATATAATTTCCAGCTCAAGGGCCCTGGCAATACTGCAAGTAACCGACCAGCCTTTATGTTATTTAACAATCAGTTATAAAGTTCATAGATACATTTGACGTTGAATAGATACTTTATGTCGTGCTCCAACGCATCTAGTGAGCGGCGAATTGACCTTGTGGTGGCCAGTAACATATGCATATTATATACGAATACAACGCACGTGGTCCGCCAGTGTCGCATCCACTAACATACTATTAGTGCACTAATAACATTGAAGGAGTTTATACTCCTTCAATTCAATATTTATACATACCACCTGCGTGTAACTACCGCAACAACCTTGTAATTTCCGTGCACGAAACGCGGAAACCCGAGTAAAAACTGCCAAGAAAGACCCAAACAAAAGGTTCATTTGCCCGAGGGAAAGTAATTATTTTGCAGCTTTTGTTTGTTTACCTGTCTGTTAAAGTTGTTTTTAAGCAACATGTGTTTTGTAACAGCTGTTTTGAAACGTTGATATGGCAATATCTGTAAACTTTCTTGAAAAGTTTTTTTGCGGTATTTTACCTACAGTTGATTATTGGAAATACTGGCGTATTACTATAGAAATTATATTTTCGGATTTTTAAATTGCCTATAATTGCTTTTTAAATAAACTAACGGCAATGTTTCGGGTTTTTTGGACTCACAGCTCCAGTCAGTTTGTAAAACCAAATAAACGCGATACTCGACCCGAAAAATTAGTATTTCAATGTCGACGACCTCCTTGACGTAACGGTTAACATTGTCGGCGCTGGAAGAGGACCTTCGGTCTCGGGTTCGATTCCCGGTAAAACCAATTTGGGAAATGAAACTTTTCTAAATTGGTTCTGGTCTGGGTGTTTTGGAAAGTGCTCCAGAGTAATTTCCGTTGCTCTGGTATTTTCCTATTCCCTAGCTAGAATCAGGCGATTGGTGTGTTTGTCTGACATATGTCACCACGAATTTAATATATAACTATTATTAGAACCTAAGAACTTGATTAGCATTCTAGTTGTTAGAAGTTTCTTTTTTAGTTTACAATATTTCTACTATCAGTTCCCATCAAACAAACATTGTGATTAGTTATATGTTTTTGCCCCCGCCTATCAAAGTAAATGAGAATGAAAATGATTGTATTCATGAGAATATGTCTTCAACTTATAAAGGAATGTAAATTGTCTTTATGTAATAGCTTTGTAGACGGTTGCCTAAGTAATATTATTCGTTGCGATTTTGCATTCCTTTTATGGGAATATTATTTATAACTTACTCCGAGGTGAAGATTAGTTAAGGTTTCAATTAAAACTTTAATGAAGAAGCATTGGCTTGAACACAGAAAAGATATCATTATAGGTCCATAATCCATACTGTGAAGCTTTTATTTTGCTTTTATAAAAGTTGAATTAGTAAATTTGTTTAATGTGTGGGAAGGTAGGCCGTCAAGAAGACGCGCATTAAAATGTTTTCTTATCTACCTAACAATAAGGCCGTATCAATTACGATATAACTATGATAAATTTTTCCTTACTATATTTGTTAATATTAATTACTTTTTTGTTATTGTTTTTTTTTGATACCACGTGATGGGATAAACAAGTCGCACGCGTGGTGGCAAGAGCTTTAAATCGCAAATACCTAAGGCCGCGTTCCCATTATGTCGTGAAGACAGATAGTCGTGTAGTTTAAAGTGTCGTGAATTGTATATTTAAATGAAGTTGTTCACACATAGAACAACTCGATTAACTGCCGTTCACACTTGCCGATTTTTTTAACGTTACGTCAACAGACTGCCGTGATAATGGAAAGAGCTAGAACGACACTCGTTTGACGATAAATAAAACGTCACGATAAAAATGTAACGATAGATAACCGAAAACCGAAAAATTATCGTCACGATCTATTGGGAACAGGCTAGGCACGACAGTCGTTCAGTAATAAAATAAACGTCCACGTCACAGTCACGACAGATTGTCGTGATATGGGAACAGGCTAGACGCGACTGTCGTCTAACGATAAATAAAACGTTACGACATAATGGGAACGCGCCCCAAGGGACCCATATGCATGTAATTTCACCAGCACTCTTACTTACCCTTCAAAGCCGGAACGCAGTAATGCTCACATTAATGTTTGGCGGCAGAA